TCGATCGCATGGCCCCCCGAATTACCGGGGCATCGCGTGCCTTGGGCCGCATGCACCCGAATATAGGGGGGGCCCGGAGAAGTTAAGCGCCGCCTATATGCCGGGATGTCCAGTCCATGGCCCTGTACGGGGCCCCCGTGTGGGCGCGCGACCTTGACGGGCCGCCTCGGGGCAGGAGGAGTGTCCTCCTGCAGATGGGGCGGCTTATGTGTCAAAGGGTTGCGCGCGCATACCGGACCACCGCGGCGATGGTGGCGCACGTCCTTGCCGGGGACCCATCATTTGATCTCCAGGCGGAGATGTACGATGATACATATCATCGTGCAAAGAAAATCCGCCTGGGGGGGGGACCCCGGAAGACAGGGAAAAAGCGGTCGAGAAAATGAGGCACCAGGCTCGGCGATCAATGCTGAAAAGATTGAAGCAGCAGCTGGCGAGGTTCGACCAGCCGATCGTCGGGGCCATCCGTCAACACTTCGAGGAGTGGATGGATGGCTGCCGTAGGCGTCTTACCTTTCGGATGGTGCAGGTGCTCACCGGACATGGGTGCTTCGGTGGGTACCTGCACCGAATTGGGCGTGAATCTGTGCCAAAGTGCCAGTGGTGTGATGTGGCCCGCGATACAGCCACACACACCCTGGAGGAGTGCCCCGCGTTTGCGGGACAACGATAGGCCCTCCGGGCCGGCCTCGGCGGGTGGGATCTCTCGCTGCCGACAATAATAGGGAAAGTTGTCGGCAGCGAGGAGAAGTGGCAGGCCCTCTCCGAATTCTGCGAGGAGGTAATATCGCGGAAGAAGGAGGCGGAATGCCAAAAAGAATGGGATGGTGATCCCACCCATGGGCCGAGGCGGCCCGGAAGAAAAGGCCGGAGAGAGACGGCTCCCCTGTCTACGTCGTCGTCGTCGTCGTCCTCAGAGGAGGGGGATGGCGGCGGGGATGCGGGTGGGGGTACCCCCCCAAGAAGAGGTCCGCTGCCACTGCGCGCATGTCGGGGGCGAAGAGCCCCCGACAGATGACAAATGCGGGGGGGAGGGGGAGAATAGTGACTGAGCTATCCATCCCCGATCTCCCCCCCAAGGCCTGGAAGGGAGGTAGAGGTGGGGGGGGCAATATGCCCTCCCTCATAGGACAGGGTTAGGGGGAGGGGGTGCCCCCTTCCCTCACACGAAGGGGGCTAAGCCCCCTTTCACGGAGGAGAGAGCGGGTCCCAACCCAACGTCATGTGTATATGCGGGGGGAGGGAATTTGTATTCCCTCCCCTGCACTGTTAAATACATATGGGGGACCTGCTCTCACGAAAGGGTAGTGGGAAGGGGAGGTACCGGAGGGATCTCCCATTTCAAGGCGATGCAGGGCGGGATGGGGGGATCCAAACCGCCCCCCTCTGCCCAAGAGAAGGAGTTCCCGAGGGAGCGAGACGGGCCTACATCAAGGACCGTCTCCATAAATTCCTCGGGGAGGGGGGTGAGGTGTCCGGGCGGGGGCCCGGCCCTCATTTCGACCCCTTTGGGTGGGAGGTGGCGTGCCGGTGGGGTGGTTCCCCAACGCGCCACAGTTAATTAGATGAAGGGGCACCACGTAAGGTGGGGCACCGAGGCAGAGTGCGTTCCCCCCACATGCCCACGCAGACGGGGGGGGCGCGCTCTTAAAGGTCAGGGTTAGGAAACCAGTGGAGGTTTAGTGGGTAAACCCCCCGGACGATTAGTACCGGGGGGGAGTCCCACATAACCCGTCACTCCCCCCGGGGTGGCGGGTATGCGTAACGCATTACTCCACTTAAAAAAAAAAAAAAAAAAAAAAAAAAAGTTTAATAGAAATATAGGCGGCTACCACAAATACATGGCGGAAGCCAGGCGCCGCATCATACCAAAGGACCTCGGGATCATGGGACCCCTGAGGATCCGTAAGGCCCTGAGCGATGATGGTGGAGGTGCCTGGCCTCAAAGCCGGATCTTCGGAAGCTGGCGGCGGAAAAGAGCCCCGATTTTCGGATCCAAAGGCCGGAGAAGGTTGCAGCGGTGCGATTCCTCGGCCTGGACCCGACAATCGGGGCCGAAGTGGTAGTGGCCGCGGTAGCCCATGCTGGGGGATGCTCCCCCGCGGAGATATCCGCGGGAGAGATTAACATCTCCCAGCGGGGCATAGGGGCACTGGTGGTCCGTTGGCGGTGGCGGCGAAGGTCACTGCCGCGGAGCGGGTCCCGTTGGGGTGGACCCGCGCCGGGATGACGGCGCTGCCGCTTCGCGCACAGCTTTGTTTTCGCTGCCTCGAGCGAGAACATGTGCGCGAGCGCTGCACAAGCGCCGTCGACCGCTGCGGTAGCCCTGGCCACCGCATCAAGGGCTGCAAGGCGGCCGCAAGGTGCCCGGTCTGTGCCGAATTGGGACGGCCCTCCGGCCACAAAGTAGGAGGGCCGGCATGTAAACCCCCCCCACAAGAGCAAGAGGAGGGGTAGAAAGAGTAAGGAGGAGGAGGAACATTCCGAGAAGGGAGGGGCTGAAGCGGAAGATGCCCGAACCCCCGCGGAGGTCCCCCTGGACAGGCTGTTGCAGATGGGGGTGTCAGTCCTGGCACCCCTCCAACGGGGAATGCAGAGGGGGGTGCCCCCCTGGACACCCCCCACGAGGGATTCACCCAAGGTGGAAGCTCCAAGGGACCGCGGAGAAGAAGATGAGGTGGCCTCCACGGTAATAATGTCCCAGGAGTGCGGGACAGAGCACGCGTGGAACTCCTCGTCTAACGGCGGAGAAGGGAAAATGGAGATTACGTCCTTGGGGTGGAAGAAGAGGGCTGGGACGGAGACACCGGAGAGGAGTGCTTCCGACGCGGACCCGGCCCCCAAAAAGAGGAGCAGGGTAAGCAGGGCGACCTCAGAGGACGAGGGGCCTCCAACAACTTTAGACGGGGAGTCGGTGGGTGTGTCCCCCCCGACTCTCCAAGTAGACACCCCCCGTACCCCCGAGGGGACGGGCGGGTAAAGGTAGGGACCTCCCCAGCCTCTGCGCATTTAGAGGCACCCGCATGTGAAGCCACCGAAGTTGAGGCCAACACCCCCTCGGGGGAGACTGAGACGGCCCCGCCGTCTGACGTCTCCCAGGAGGGGGTGGAAGTAGATAGCCCGGAGGAGGCGGAGGAGGCTTAGCCTTCATGCCCCTCCGGGTACTACAGGCCAACCTCGGCACCGGTCACCGGGCTCAGAACCTGTTCTGGAACAGGATCTTGGAGCTCGGTGCCAGGCTGAGGGTGGCGACTGAGCCGCACTACGTGCCATGCACCAGGAAGTGCTGGTTCGGCAGTAGGGACGGTTCGGTTGCCACGGTGGCAAACCCCGCGGCGGCCCCCCCCTCTGTGTAATCAGTGCAAGGGGGTCCTCGTTTGTGGCGGTTGACTGTGGGCCCATCAGGGTGACTGGAGTGTATCTCCACCACCGTAAGAACAAGAAAGGTCTGGGAGACCTCGCCCGTGTTATGAGGGTCCTAGACGGGATCGGGGAAATGGTGCGAAGGTGCCGTCCCCGACCCGTCGTGATTGCCGGGGACTTCAACGCCCACTCTGAAGGGTGGGGGTGTAGTCCCCGGCAAAGGGACCCTCGGGGCGAGGCTCTCATAGACTGGGCAGTGAGGCTTGACCTCTCGTTGATAAACGAGGGGTCCGTCAGCACCTGTGCGGCTGAAGGGGGAGTCGGTCATTGACTTGACATGGGCGGCCCCTTCGGCCGCCCGGTTATTCCGGGAGTGGAAGGTGGAAGTGGAGGGCGAAACACTGTCGGACCACCGATACATAATGTGGGCCCTCCGCCTCCCCGGACCTCCACAGGTGCTGGCCCCCAATTGCCTCGGGGAGGGGGACTTTCTCCTCCCCAGAAGATGAGCCCTCAGTCGACTAGACGCGGATAGGTTCAGGGCGGCCGTTCTCGTGGCCACCTGGCACTTTGACAAGAAGCCAGGTGAGTGGGCCCTCAGCCCCCAAAGGGGGGCTGAGGAACTAGTGGGGATAGTGGCGCCTGCCTGCGACGCCGCTATGCCCCAAGCCCACCCTCGCCGTCGCCGGGTAGCGTATTGGTGGACGGAGGAGGTCTCGGAGCTCCGAGACTCCTCCGTCAGTGCCAGACGGCACCTGTACCGTACCCGGCGAAGAGGCGAGGACATCACGGGAGCGGCGGAGGCCTACCGGCTGGCCCGGAAGGCCCTCCGAGTCGCCATCGCCGAGTCAACGCGAATAGCCTGGGAGCAAATGACGAGCATTCTGGACGACGACCCGCTCCCCTGGGGGCGCCCGCATAAAAGAGTTATGGGCAAGGCCCGCTCTTGGGTGCCCCCGCCAACGGAGTCGTTGGACAACCGGGCCCTCGAAGGGCTCCTCGACAACCTCTTCCCGAGGGTGGAAGGGGGCCCACACAGAATCCCCGCTCCCGATCTGGGGGAGGGGGACTGGGACGAGGGTCTGGCTGTGTAACCGGACGAGCTCGTCAAGGCCAGGAGAAAGCTCGGGGCCAAGGGTAAAGCCCCTGGCCCCGACGGGATTCCTGGCCGGGCCTGGGTTCTCGCGCTCGGCGAAGAGAGCCTATCTACCGCCATACGCGGGGTTTTCAGCGGGTGCCTAAAGGAGGGAGTGTTCCCCCCAGCGTGGAGAAGGACCAAGTTGGTCCTCCTCCCGAAGGATAGCAAGACACCCGGGAGTGCGCCGACCTACAGGCCGATTTGCCTGCTGGACGAGGCGGGCAAGATGCTGGAGCGCATCATTGCCGACCGCCTCGTCCAACACACGTCCTCGAAGGGGCCGGATCTCCACGACCGTCAATACGGCTTCAGGTCCGGGAGGTCTACGCTGGATGCCGTCCAGTACCTCCGGGACCTGACCGCGACGGTCGTGGAGAGGGGAGGCGGGGTGTTGTTGGCGGTATCTCTGGACATAAAGAACGCCTTCAACACCCTGCCCTGACCGGAGGTGACGCGGGCCCTCGAGTATCACGGGGTGCCCGCCTACCTCCGGCGCATGATGGACACCTACTTCGAGGGCAGAAACCTCGCCTTCAATCGAGAAGGCGGGGTTCAAGGTCGGCGCGCAATGGAACGCGGTGTTCCGCAGGGGTCGGTACTCGGCCCTCTGCTATGGAACATCGCGTTCGACTGGGTGCTGCGAACTCCTGTCCCCCCCCCGGCTGCCACGTCGTCTGCTATGCAGACGACATCTTAGTAGCGGCGGGGGAGGAGCTTGGGGAAGGCTCGTCTCCGCGCGAAGGCTGCAGTGGCATCGGTGGTGGGAACCATCGAGGGCCTGGGACTAAAGGTGGCGCCCCAAAAGACTGAAGCCGTGCTTTTTCACGATGGCAGTCGGGGGGCGCCGCCTGAGACCCAGGTCCTAGTCGATGGCATCCGCATTCGCGTCGGGCCAACGATCAAGTATCTCGGCCTGACGTTGGACGGCCGCTGGGACTTCGGCCCGCACTTTAGGGACCGTGCCCCCAGGGACCTGGCCGCCAGGGTGCGCAATGCGGCAGTGGCGGCAGCCAGCCTGCAGCGCAACCTTGGGGCCCAGGATGGAGGGCTCGCCGCCTATATACGATGGCCGTGCTGTCGATCGCATTATACGGGGCGCCAATATGGGTGCCCCAGCTCAACGTCTGCCGAGAGGGCCAAAAGAGGCTGAGGCAGACGTTGAGGCCAATGATGGTCAAGATGACGAGATCGTACAGCACGGTCTCGTATATGGCGGCGACCACCCTGGCTGGCTTCCCTCCCGTGGAGCTCATTGCGGAGGAACGCAGAATCCTCTATTGGAGGATCAAGGAGCTCCACGAGGGGGAGGGGCTAAGAGCCGGGGACGTGCGGGCCTTGAAGTCTCAAGCTGTGGCCCGTACCCACACAATGTGGGCGGACAAATTGTCCGACCCACGGAGGTACGGGCCCGAAACAGCGGAGGCCGTCCGCCCCTGCCTGCCGGAGTTTGCAGGCAGGAGGGGATGCGGATTGTCCTTCCATCAGGTGCAGATACTCACTGGCCATGGGTGTATTGGCAAGTATCTGCACCGGATAGGGAAGGAGCCCACCACCAGATGCCACTACTGCCATGTGCTGATGGACACGGCGCTTCATATCCTGGCCGATTGTACGGCCTGGGAGGGAGGCGCCGTGTCCTGGCCGGGGCATTGGGGTGGCGCGACGGGGCGATCTCGCTCCCGCGGTCGCGGCCATGTATGGAAGCGAGGAGGGACGGGAAGCGGCGGCCTCCTTCTGCAGGGACGTAATGTCCAAGAAGAAGGCCGCCGAGAGGGAGCGCCGACCACACCAAACCCGTCGTCGCCGGCGACGACGGGGTGGCCGGCGACCTAGGGGGGGGCATAGACAGCGGGTCCGGGGGGACACCGGCCGAGGAGGAGGAGGGAACCTCGACTGGCGGGGATTCGAACCCTCCTCCTCGGCCGCCCCGGGCCCGACTCCGTCGGCGAGGAGGATCCGGCTCTTTCTCCACATAGTGGTGGAAGATGGATCCCTCTGCCACGGAAAGGTTAGGTTAGGGGAGAGTGGTGCCCGTTTTGGGGACGGCCCACTCCCACAAAAAACCCCACCTCCCCGACTAGGGGAGGGAGGTATGGGGTGAGGGCGGATGCCCCCTCACCCCATAGGTGAAAACAGAAGGCCAATCGGTCGGTCCCAGACCGACCGGGACCGTGCCCTATTCCCTTTGTGGAACAAGGCGCGGTAAATGATGGCAAGGGGCTCGACAATCAAGCCCTGGGTTCGGAGGGGTTGGGGAGGGAATATAGGAATAGTTCCCCTGACTCCCCCCTCCTCGGTCCGACAGGTAGGCATCCCGCAGGAGTTTTAGTCAGTAAGAGTCTGACATAACCCCCGGCCCCCCCCAAAGGGCCGGGGATATCCATGATGGATTTCCCCTGCGTAACCAAAAAGAAAGGTTAATAGAAATATCTCCCCCGTGGGTGTCACCTTTTTTTCTTTTTTTTAGGTAACGCAGAGGAAATCCATCATGGATACACCCGCCCCTTGGAGGGGTTATGTCGGACTTCTACCGACTAAAACCCCTGCGGGGTGCCTACCGCTCGGACCGTGGTGGGGAAGTCAGGAGTCTTCCCCGTGGACGCCACCTCGCCGTAGTGGGGGAGCTTGCGGGTCCCAGTGATGTACAGGGCTGTACCGGCAGGGCTTTCGGCCCCTGACAGTTTCTACCATGCCGGGGTGGCCTATATGGAGGGACCTTACTAAGAGCGTCCATAATACTCCTGGATGGACAGCTGCCTCCAGGTTTTATCCAGGGACTGGAGGACCGTACTTGTACGATCCAAAGGTCCCTACAGTGCGGACAGAGCGGGCTCGTTAGCCTGGTGAAGGCAGCCGGTCTAGGGGAAGGAAAACCCCGAAGACAAACCCGTGTGTGTGGGGGCAGATAAAACCCTTACAATTATGAAGTATGTCTAATAAGGTGGAAAAGCCCCCAGTACTCGCAACTGGGGAACGGCGGGAGGGGGAGTATTCGTCCTGGCACCCCCCCGTCGTCATCATACGATGAATTAGGTGGTGTGTGCCAGGCAGGCACACCAACAGAATTGGCAGCCGCCCGAAGGGAGGTGCTGGAGGACAGGCTGAGTCCGAGTACGAATCGGTTTGACTCGTGCCCCGGTTTTGCCTCCGGCACCTAAGAAGAGGAAGAGGAAAACGAAAACGTCCGCTTGCCAATTATGGAGGAATAGGGATGTTTACTTCCCTCCGATCGGGGACAGCAATGTCCCACGGTCGGAGAGGAGTGAACTCCCCTGTATGCGCGGGGCTGTGACCGAACATCTGTCCGCCTTGCAGATATGGGAGCGGCACTTCCCGGGGGAGGAGTTTCCTCCGATCGAGGACGAAGAGTCCTCGGTCGGGGGAGCTCCACTCCGGAACGCGCGCGAGGGAAATGCCGAAAGCGAGGGAGTGCACCGGCAGTATTGGGGGATTGCGGGAGTGCGGAGACCCACGGCTGGCGGCCACTAACCTGGCCACCGAGACTCTCGGGAGTATGGATCATCTCCGGGCGCTTCGGGTAGAGCCGGGGTAAAAGACAGTACAGGGCTATAAAGGGAAACCCTTTGCATCCCTAAATGATTATACCCATACCTGTCTCGAAAATATAGAGTGGGTATTGGAGGATTACCAGAGGATGGCGAGGAAGGGTGGTCCGGACGAGCTCTCGCTCCCGCACCTGGTGCGAGCCATGTACGGGAGCGAGAGAGCATGGGACGCGGCAGCCTCCTCCTGCGGGGAGGTAATCTCCCAGAAGGAGGACGCCGAATGGAGGCGCCGGCCTGGCAAACGCCGTCGCAGAGGACGGCGGGGCCGGCGCTCCCCTGGGGGGTATTAACAGCGGGCCCGAGGTGGCATCGGACGAGGAGAGGCCGCTGGCCTACACGGGCCGGCGGCTCCCTTGGCCACCTTGGGCCAGGCTCCGCCACTTGGAGGGAGCGAGGAGGATTCCTCCTGCCGCTCCCCCGAGTAATCGGAAAAGGGGGAAAAGAGGAGGTGGGGAACCCAATTGGGGTCGGGCCCACCTCCCCAAAAATCCCCCTCTCCCTTTAGGAAGGGGGGATAAGGAGGAAGGGTGGGTGTCCCCTTCCTCCAAGGTGACACCAGAAGGCCAACCGGCGGGGTTACCCGCCGGGGACTGCGCCCCTCTCACTAATTCCCCGAAAGAGGAAGGGGTTGCGGTACAAGAAGGCGAGGGGCTCTTGGATTAGAGTCCTGGCGTCGGGGGGTTGGGGAGGGAATGCGGGACCAGATCCCCTAACTCCCCTTCTCACGGTCCGACAGGTAGACATCCCGCAGGGGTTTTAGCCGGTAAGAGTCCGAAATAACCCCCACCCCTCCCCAAGGGGGCGGGGGTATTCATGATGGATTTCCTCTGCGTGAACAAAAGGAAAAAATGGTGGTCCGGATGGACGCCTCGGGGCCCTGGAGATACAAGTCCGGGGCTTCAAAGCGGAAATCGCCCGCATAGGACGGATGCTGGAGAGGGTTCTTCCCTCTCGGTGCCCGCAGCTGCGGGCGGCATAACCGCCCTCTCTCACCCTCCTCCGCGGAAGCCGGCGCCCGCAGTGGAGGGACGCGACGGCTAGACAATCGTGTCCTGCCGAAGGGGTAAAGGGAAGGAGGACGGGGTCAAACCTAAACCTCCTATCCCCAAGGGGGGTTGCGGAAAAGGGAGCCGCACCTCCTCCCAAGGGTGGGAAGGCCAAGGAGGGAGGGGATCCTTCCGAAGGAAGGAACCCCCCCTACCCAAAAGGCCTCAGTTAAGGAACTCCCCGCGCAATCCCGTAATTACTGTGACTGTCTTGACGGGTGGTTCAATAACCGAAGTGATGGCGAAAGCCAGGCAACAGATCGACCTAAAGGAGGTCGGCCTGGAGCCTAGCCAGTTTTTAGGTTAAACGCGCCAGAAATGGGGGGGGGTCCTACTGGAGGTCCCTGGAAAGGACGGCAAGGAGAAAGCTGATCGCCTTGCCAGGGACCTCCAGGACGTTTTGTGCGGGGAGGCGTTGGTCGCAAAGCCGGCGAGGCGGGCTGAGCTCCACCTCGTCGGCCTGGATGACTCCGTCCTGGGACACCCCGACTATGGTGAGGGCTGCGATATTAAAATATTCGGGTTGCCCTCCGGATGGTCTCCAGACGGGTGAAATTAGGAGGTCGTCCGGAAGGCTGGGTGCGATCTGGGTCAAGTGCCCACTGGCACCGGTCCAGAAGTTGATAGCAGCCGGGGGGCTGCCCATAGGGTGGTAATGGGCCAAAGTTAGGATTTTGGAGGAACGGCCCCTCCAATGTTTCCGGTGCCTACGGTATGGCCATATGGCGATGTCCTGCCAGTCCAACGAAGGATTGGGGGCCACTGCTTTCGCTGCGGTGGGACCGGACATGTGGCACAGAGGTGCACCGCGGAAGTGCGGTGCCCCTTGTACCACAAGGAAGGTAGAGATGCGGGTCACCGAGTGGGTGGCCGTAAATGTAAGGCGGTCCCTCCGACTGCCCAAAGAAGTGGAGTCCCCCCGCGTCGCACTAAGCGAAACAGGGGGAGCAAGGCGGCGCGTAGTCGTGCCGGAACTGGAGGGGGGTGTAGTCCCTTCGCGGTCTTGGCCCGTCGACGGGGCCGCCGCCCAGTACAAGGGACATCAGTTCCGTCAATGGCAAAGGCCAAGGAGGTAGGGAAAGGGGTGCCGGAAGCTGAGATAGCTCAGCCTCCAGCGCTCACGGATCACGTAGGCCCGGCAGTGACGGGAGCGACAGCAGTTCCAGCAGCACCGGACCCACCTTCGGCGGTTAGACCGAAGGGGGTCTCCGAGGCGGAGACCATGGAGGTCGAGGCTTCGACTGCCCTTCTGGTTGAGGCCGGTGGGAGGCGTGGGGGGTTAGAGCGAGGTGTAGCTCTCCCCGGACACTCCCTCACCCCAGGCAGAGGCTCCCCCACCGGGGCTCATCGGCCAGGAAGGAGAGGGGAGTAATCCGACCCTTTAGGGGAACACTCACCCGCGCCAGGAGGAATAGTCCTTTTTTTTGTTTTTTGTTCACGCAGGGAAATCTATCATGGGTACCCCTGCCCCCCCAAGGGGGCAGGGGTTATGTCGGACTTTTACCGACTAAAACCCCTGCGGGATGTCTACCTGTCGGACCGTTGTGAAGGGAGTTAGGGGAACTGCTCCCGCATTCCCTCCCCAACACCCCGGCCCCAGGGCTCTAAACTCAGAGCCCCTCGCCTCTTTGTACCGCACCCCCCTTTCCCCGTTCGGGGAACTAGTGAGAGGGGCGCTGTCCCCGGCGGGTTACCCCGTCGGTTGGCCTTCTGGTGTCTCCTAGGAGGAAGAGGACATCCACCCTTCCTCCTTATCCCCCCCTTCCCTGAAAGTTCAGGGAGAGGGGGGAAATTGGGGAAGTGGGCCCAGCCTCAACTGGGTTGTCCACCTCCCCTTGTCCCTTCCTACCCGATCACTCAGGGGAGTAGGAGCTAGTCTCCTCACTGTCCCCCTAGTGACGGAGCCTGGCCCGAGGTGGCCGAGGGAGGCGCCAACCCGTTTAGGTCAGCGGCCTCTCCTCGGCCGATTCCGCATCGGGCCCGCTACGAATCCCACCCCCCAGGGAACGTCCGCCCCGCCGTCCTGTGCGACGACGTTTACCAGGCCGGCGTCCCCATTCGGCGGCCTCCTGGGAGATCACCTCCCGACTGAAGGAGGCCGCCATGTCCCACGCTTCCTCGCTCCCGCACATAGCCTTGACTAGGTGCGGGAGCGAGAGCTCTCTCTCTCGGCAATCCTCCGCCCCGAGCTGGACACGGCACTGCTCATCCCATGCTGCACAGGCAGCCAGGGTATGCAGCGAGGTATCCTCTTACTCGGGGCAGTGGTGGCACCGAGTGGTGGGCTCCTTCCTTATCCGGTACAGGTATCTCCCGAAGCAACCATTTTTTTTGTTAACCCTGGTGAAACCCCTTATGGGTACCCACGATACCTGGGGGGAGGGGCCGTGTGTTATGTCGGACTCGCAGCGACTAAAACACCAGGGGGGTGCCTGCCTTCGGGGGTAGCGATAGGCGGCCGTAGAAACAAGTCCCCTATTCCTTCTACTAAACCGCCACCCCCGTTAGCTCCGCTCGCGGAGCCCAAGACCTCTCCCGAAGCAACCCGCTGCCCTGTCAATACCTGCACCAGGTGGAAGGATAGGCCACCTCGGACAGACAGGGGCGGATAGCCTCGGCCGTTGCGAGACCGGGCCCTCGGGGGTCGGCCAAGACACTTTCCGACCACTCCAGGGTCCGGTCTCTAGCCTGGGTCATAAGGGCCTTCAGGTCCCTGGCCGTCAGCTCTCCCCCCTCGCGGAGCTCCTGCACCCGCCAGTAGAAGATACGCCTCTCCTCGGCTAGAAGCTCCACAGGGGGGAGCCGGCCAGGGTGTCGCCGCCACATATGACACTGTGCGGAACCCTCGAATCGCCCTGATCATGAGAGGCCTTAGGACCTGTCTCATTAAGCGCTTGGACGCAGAGCTGGCCAGCAACTGAGGCGCTCAGTTGGGCGCCCCGTACAGGGTGATCGAGAGAACCGCATCGACAGGCGGCGAGCCTGCCATCCTGGGCCCCATTGGGCGCGCATCAGCCTGACTATAGCCAATCCGGCTTTGCGCACCCTGGGGGCCAATTGCCTGAAATGAAGCCCAAATGCCCATCGGCTTTCCAACGTCAGGCCGAGATATTTCATCGTCGGCTCGACGCGGACGTGGACGCCATCTACCAGGACCTGAGTCTCCGGCGGCGCCCCTCGACTGCCGTCGTGAAAAAACACGGCTTCAGTCTTAAGGGGCGCCACTTTGAGACCCAGGTCTCCGATGGTTTCCACCACTGATGCCACTGCCACCGCACTGCCACTCCGCACGGAGGCGGGCTTCCCCAAGTTCTCCCCTTCGGCCACCCGCGTGTCATCCGCTTAGCAGACGACGTGGCAGCCGTCGGGGAGCGGAGTGCGAAGGATTCGGTCGAACCCGATGTCCCACAGCAGGGGGCCGAGCACCGACTCCTATGGAACATCGCGCTCCATAGCGTGCTCCAGCCTTGAATCCCGCCCTCTTTAGTGAAGGCAAGATCTTTGTCCCCGATGTAGGCGGACATCAACCGCCGGAGATAGGCGGGCACCCCGAAATGCTCAAGGGCCCGTCCTATCTTCGGCCAGGGCAGGGTGTTGAAGGTGTTTGATACGTCTGGCGACATCGCCAGCAACATCCCGCCCCTTATCTCCACGACCGCCCGGGTCAGGAGCCACTGGATTGCATCCAGCGTGGATCGTCCGGGCCTGAACCCGTACTGGCGGTCGTGGAGTTCCAGCCCACTCGAGGACATGTGCTGGACGAGGCGGTCGGCAATGATGCACTCCAGCATCTTGCCCGCCTCGTCCAGCAGGCAAATCGGCCTGTAAGCTGACGCACTACCGGGATCCTTGCCCTCCTTCGGGAGGAGGACCAATTTGGCCCTCCTCCACTCTGGGGGGAATACCCCCTCATTGAGGCATCCTGTGAAGACCCTGCACATGGCTGTGGACAGGTTTCCTTCGGCCAACGCGAGAGCCCAGGCGCGACCCGTAATCGCATCGGGCCAAGGGCTTTGCCCTTGCCTCCGAGCTTTCTCCGGGCCCTGGCGAGCTCCTCTGGAGTGACCTTCAGGCTCTCGTCTCAGTCTCCCTCCCTCATTTCTGGGGAAGGGATCACGGGAGGGCCCCCTTCCGCCCTCGGAAAGAGGGCGTCCAGGAGCCCATCGAGGGCCCGGGGATCCATCTCCGTCTACATGGGCGCCCAAGGACGAATCTTCCCCATCGTCCTCTTGTACGGGCGACCCCATGAAGGTATGTGGGGATCCCAATGGGACCCCCCCAAACCCCCCTAGGTGTGGAACCGAGGGGGACCCTACTGCACCTGCCTCCCGGGGGCAGGTCTTCCCTCCCCGGAGCTCCCTCCATCTCTGCATCATGATATCAGAGGTGGGGATCTCACCTCAGTTCGGGGCTATTCCCTCCTAGCGCAGGTGGGGGTTCCCTTGGAAGGAGTAGCCCACCCCCTCGCTCCTGCCTGGCGCATGGGTCCCAGTGCGGGGGCCTCTAACACCCCAAGGCCACTACCGCACCGGCAGATCCCATGGGCTTGGGGTGAGGGAATGTGCAGGGAGAGCTCCTCGCTCTCTACTCCGCCCACGCCTTCCACCCCATCTCCGGTAGGAGGAAAGCCGAGGGCTCGACCTCCATCGCTGCTACAGCCTCGGAGACACCCTCCCACCTAACCGTCGGAGGTGGGTCCGGCTCTCGCGGAGCGGCCGTCGCTCCTGCTCCATCCGGACCTGCACCTTTCTTGGGAGGGGCAGGAGACTGGTTAAGCCTGAGCTTCCCCCCTCCCCATTCCTACCTCTTTGGTCCCTACTGGGACAGCCGCTGGGACTGTTGCCCCTAGCGTTTTCGGCGACGCCGTGGGCGGGCCGAGAATGCACGGGCACACTGTCCTGGCCCGCATCCCCGGCTCCCCAACGCGCCGCCTTTTTGCTCCTCCGCAGTATCCGGCGGGGGGGACCCCCCTCTCGGTGCTGTCCGGGGGACCGCCTTACATTTCCGCACACCCATACAGTGGGCGGAATCCCTACCCTCGTATTGGCAGAGGGTGCACCTCACTTCCGAAGTGCCACGTGGTCGGCCCCTCCGCAGCGGAAGCAGCGGCCCCTCAGCCCTACTTCGGACTGGCAGGCCGCTGCCATGTGTCCGTATCTGAGACACTTGAAGCATTGGACGGGCCGTTCCTCCAATACCCTAATCCCCGCCCTGAACCACCCCACTGGCAGTCCCCCGGCCGCTACGAGCTTCTGGGCCGGTGCCAACGGGCACCGGACCCAGATCGCGCCCAGCCCTCCGGATGAC